ACTAAAAACAATGACTATCATGAGGCTGTAAAATATTCAGTGTATAAAAACTATTTAAATACAAGTGCTATTATAAACTTAGAAGATATTTTTTATATTCTTTTTTAAAGGTACATCTAAGAGTAGCGCTTTGTTTTTTTTTGGAATATTTTTCCAAACCTTGGGGACCTACATACTTATTATGCTGCAAACTGAAGGAAGTCTGTCATGCAATGCATCAAAAACAAAAACACCAACCTGGAATTCTAACTGTATATAGAATTTCAAGTTTTTCTGAATAAAGGTGTGCTATATGCATATTTTCCGGATGAAATAAGACGGACTAGTTTTTTCTGAATCAAAAACATTTCATTTAGATGTGATTTGAAAGTTCTTCCCAATACATTGGTATTTGAATTCTGCTTCGGGAGCACTCAATATCAACTAATCTAGAAAGTATGTAATGTTCCAAGTTTGTTTGGATGCAGCGGTAACATACAAGAAGCTACTCAAGAGTCAAGTCAAATCAATGAAAAACTTCTTCCAAGACCATAGGTTTGGAACGTTCAAAATCTGTTCTACCTTCTGGTTTGTTGACCCCAGGTCACGCAATATTTCCAAGCGCACAAATGATGAACGCGCAAAATGCTATCGATTCGGGAACCTCCAATTATTGGTTATTATAACATTAGTCTTAGATAGTTGTTTCATATTTTAGACCTTTTCATGCATGGCTTTAAAAAGGGTAAACTTGGGTTAAGACAGGAACAGGAACCTTGTTGTATTTAATAATAGTTCCCCATTGAGTGAGGTAAAAAAAAATATTAAATAATTCAACAAAAGTAGCCAATCATGCAAAGTGTGACTTAAATATTAAAATATTTATTGATTGACATGGGTCCCATGTGATGCATACAATGCATTTAAAATAAATTGTTTACACAAAATGTGGATGTGAGGTGTACAATGACCATGGCCCATTAAACTTGTATAGTTTGAAAAAAATGTTCAGACGTGTGATCGTTGGCTCCAGATGATTGTAATATATCCATGGCAACACAGGAAACAAGCACAGCATGAAGAAAATTTACATTGCTTTCCATTCCATTAAACAGTTGACACCATTACCATTTAGATATTTTGTATGGTGATTCAATACTTTGATGTTCACGTAATGACTGACCTATATACTTACCCTTTTTGTTTACAATGTACATTACTGTAAAACACAGATTGTTTCAATTCTTCTAAAACATACTCAGCAGTAAATGTTGATGTTGTTGCGACATTATATATCGCCTGAAAAAGAACACAATATTATTGCCACCAACAATATATCTCATGCATGTCTTCAATAAAGAGCTGGATGAACATCTCTATCTGCAATATTGCTTCATACATATATGATAGTTATGCATGTTTAATGAGATCACATGACCATATATGGTGTTGATCAGATCATGCGCTTAATGACTTCAATTAAGCACTGGTTGAATGTCTATCTGCGATAGTGCCCCAGATATGACATTTGACTTCATAGGGATGTATGAACGACAGGACAGACGGGTGCTGGTAACCACTATTTCTTTTGCTGGCAAGGTGAGAGGGGATAGTAGTAAGTACCAGATCACAGTACATCACTCTCAAATCAAAACAAAATCCTTTGTGATTTAACTTGTAAATTAAAGTGATATTATTATACCTAAGGTAGCGGGACTATTATTTGCATACTTGTTTTCATCTTCTAATTGTGACCAAATGACTACAAATAGACCCAGGAAAGTATATATTTTTGGAATCGTTAGACGTCAAGCTTTTCAAAAGTGTGTTTTTCATGCCCGTATCTGCATTCTACGGTGTGTTACTTAATCAAAAGTGAAAAATTACTTTTTTTGTAAAAAAAATAATTACGCATTTATGCTGGTGATAGGAAGTTTATTTTTCACTTTTCCTAGTTGTTCAATAGTCTGGTAAACTGAATGTGTCTGGTCAGTTTTATTCAAGCAACGCGTTTTGAAAAGTAATGTTCTGAATTTTAATTTCTGTTTTAGTCGCATTGCCCCCAACTCAAACCACAACACATTAGTAAATAATCCATGAAATAGTTTGTCTGGACACATTCAAGTTCCTCTCATTGTCACCTTAAAGCGAACCTAAATGCGGCCTTAATTTATAGTTGTGTATATTCTAAACTGTATTCGAAATAATATTGCAGTGGTTTAATTTTGTTTTAATTATAACTGTAGCTTGGATAGGCATTTGAAGTGCTTGCCATGGAGGCCATTCATGGAGGGGAATAATTAACAAACGAACATATTTAACATCCTGGTACTTTTCAAAGCTATGACGTTTTAGTATCTGATCGCATTCGTATACGCCATTGTACATAGCCGTTCATGCTGCCAAGCATTGTGTACTATTAGTATAAACTCAACTTTTATATGCACAATGTGCTTTTTAAAACTTGGGTTAGAGCCTTATGCGTTTGAACCACAGTATTCTGAGAGTGAAAGCCCAATTGCGTTAAAGTACCGTACTTCCCCGATCGTAAGCCCCTCCCGAGTATGAAGCCCATCCCTATGTTTTTACTTGGTATTTATCGAGTTGAGGGCATTCACGATTATAAGCCCAGAGTGTTTTTACTGGGCGTTGACGATATTCTTTAAAATATGCGTGTAAAAGGTGTGTTTCATTTCATAATAATCGTTAGTTTGGTTCATGCTTTTAGTTCAATCACGTACACAACGTGATTCGCATCGTTTCTATTCTGTCATTTACTCAGGATGAACATCGATGTCGCAATTCTGAAGTAATCCATATTTCTTCGAGTAGTAGCCTTTGAAAAGCCAAAAATGTGATCGTCAAGGCGTGTACCTGGTTATTGGGCATGGTTTACTTTGAGACTATCATGAAAGGCCTAGGATTTGAATGGTGAGACATGTTGG